CGGGAAACTAATGACACGTAAGGGAGCGAGCGAAGAATTAGCGAATCATGGGAAATTTAGTATGAAAAATTGTGAGGATTTCTTCGCTGTAACTATACGAGACTTTTTGAATTCTTTTCAACTGTTCGACAATTTCCATGGGTCGAGGATGCTCCCGGTTCCGTTAGACGAATGCGAAACGGAATCTTCGCGGAAACGCTTCTCGAAGCGACAGTAGTTCCTGCCGAACAATGACCCTTTTTATTACTCTTGGAAACGACCGCCAAGCTTGCCCTGGCCGTTTGTATTCCGTTCGTTCAACGGTTGACGGATCGTTCGAATTTTGCGCCGTTGATTTTTTTCCTTTCTAATATTTATTCTTCGTTTCGTTTTATTTGGAATTTTTTTCTTTTTTTCGTCACCGATAGGTGACGATAAGAGAAACATATCGGCAGATTAGAGATTCAAGATTGCAACAGGTGATAAGGAGGAAAGGATGAGTCGAGGTGGCGATTCCTCGTGATAAATGAAGTAATAAGGATTAAGGAGAAGCGTGGAGCGGTATCCATCGTGACAGAAAGAAGTAAGTTACTGTTATGCAATAAAGAATAAGTTATCGTCGTGATCCATCGACGGCCGTAGTTATTACGAGGCAAATCATATTTCCTCGTCACCGGACTGTCCTCGTGGCAGATTATTTTTTAACAGCGGTACCACCTTATTGACATATCCTTCGCGATATTGTTCACCGTTAAATGTACCGGGTGGCTGGTGATGCATGAATAATGCACCGTAATGACAGCGTAGCCTGCGCCATCGCGTATCGACACGTACGATTTCGCCTTTCGAACGATGCCTGATTCCCATCTTTACGGACAATCCACCCTTTGTTCCATATTTACCGATCGCCTTATCCCTTGGATTTAAAATCCTCGTAAAAGGATGAATCATCCCGATGCCATTTTTTGCGCGGGTCGTTCTACGAGTTGGTTCTCTCGAAACGATAATCGATTCGAAATGCTCGATTCTGTTCATCCCGACATCGAAAGGCGTCGCCACCCAAACCAATGGCGATTTGAAAAAAAGTATACCTACGAGAAGAAGGTGTTCTTGAGGACGAGTGGGAAAAATTCCGGAAAAAATAAGAATTGGCGCGCTCCTATTGGCCAAGCTGTCGAACCCGAGGGATACCAGGATTGGACTCAGCCACGTTTCCCCACCTTGTTCCCTGTAAATTCACTTTTTACAGGCGTTATTACAAAACTGACTGGCATCTCCTAGACCATGTCATTACTCCTTAGTACTCCACACGGCGAGGATCCTCTCACGAGAACCCACCTCCACCTTCACCACCACCATCACCACACCACCTCCACCATCACACCATCATCACCACTACCATCATCGTCTCCACCACCGTCGTCACCACTTCCACACCATCGCTCCACTCTTCTTTCTACCTTCACCAAGCCAACCCGTCACCAGCGCACCAACCACCACCACCACCACCACCACCATCAACCGCCTCCACCTCGGTAACCTCTTCTATTTCTACTACTCTTCGTCCTCCTCCTCCTCATCTTCCCACCTTTCGCGGCCGTGGAAGACGAGCAGCCACGCGCGGATATCCTGGCAGAGTGTTACGGAGAACGGAGAACAGTGGCACAGAACGCACGTTGCTCCATTTTCGTGGATCGCGCGCAGAAAGCCCGTTCTCTCATCTTCACGATCCTTCCTCCAAATCGTGCCTTTATTTTACTGTTTTGTCCAATTCTCGTGTGCTAACTAACCAACTTTAACTAACCGAATTTCGAACGAAAGATCTCCATCTTCGAAGATTGGAGGAGAGGAAAAAAAAAAAGAAAAAAGAAAAAAGAAGAAAAGAATAAAAATTCGAAACGGTTGGACGTCAGGTGTTCTTTTCCTTCCGTTACAGTGGAAGTGGATCGTCTATCGCGGGCAGACAGTGGAAACGGACCGTTCGTGGCGCGGCTACACACGAAGAGACCGGTGGTGAACGGGTTCAAGCGCGGCCACCGACGAGCATATTTCGTATACGTATATATACACACGTAACTGCACACGTGCGCGAACACGCGTAATATTACGTTAACCGCGCTTTCGTTTTCGACGAGAGGGAAGACAGAGTGCACTGGTGATTCGTGAGAGACCCTGTTCCAGTGAGTTTCCAGGGACTGAAGCTAGGAGGGCGAACGAAGGTCGTGCAGGTCCGTAGAGCCGAGCAGCGCGTCATGGCTGCCACGAGGATGGACTGGAAGATTAGATTGTAAGTGATTATTTTTATTACTTCGCTCTAGTTGCTTAAGGGGACGGTTGCTCGGCGGCGAGCAAGAGCGATCAACGGTGCACACTGCAAACTTTGTGCATTTTTATTTTTCTTTTTGTCGTCCCGCGCCGGCCACCGAGAACTCTGACCGTTGTATTCCCCCAACAACGGTTGTTTTTCCCTCTCTTGGCGGAGTTTTACGTCGATCCTCCACGCTTCAATGTTTTTCGAACAGAGAGATGATGATCGTTGCGCTTGGTGGTGCACGTGTTGTGCAACTTTCCTTTCGCAAGCCAAGTGTCCTTTCGAGGATACGGCTGGTTATCTGTCATCTTTCTTTTACGGGGAGAGGAAATCTAGGCTTCTGTCCTTTTTAAATAGCGTATTTCTTGGCGTATTCGTATTTTCTCCGTATATATCTCGTAAAAAAGAAAATGTAAATAAGAAAAAAAATGTTGTATTATTATTATTATAAAGAGTTTGAAACGATATCTCTGAATCTTGGTTATTTTGGCACAGATGAAAATTAAATTAAAAATAATATCGTATTTCAAAATATTCGATAGATTGATAAAGAATAAAAAATAAGATTCACAGAATTAATATTGATTTTCAATCGACAACACTTCTCAAAGTTTTATTATAGTCTTACCATATAGCTAAGATTAAAGCTCTTTCTTTCAAATGCATATAATAGCAATTGCATACGAGGCAAGAGGTTAATCCTCGCGGTTAACAGGAATGATCAAAAATCGATACAAAAGAATCATTTAAAGAAGGAAACAATTATACGATGGATTAATACAGGATAGAAGAGACGGATCGAATCGATCGATTATTTCTCGCATTAACGAAGCCCCTTCATTTACGGGAAATCAGGAATAATCGTTCGTTCCGCGTTTTCTCCGCGATCCTCTCAACCGATATGAAAACTGTTCGATCACGAGAAGAAAGAGAGAGAAAGAGAGGGAAACGATGAAAAATAACATAATCGATTAGAGGCGGAATCATCGACCGTGAAACACCGCGTATCTCGTTTATCTATTATCCGTTTCCCTTGGCTTTTCGATCTTTCAAGAAGTTACGATCGTTTCGCGTAAATAATAATTACCGTTTTCGTCGAGATACCACGGCCATCTTTACTCTCGTTGATCGATGCGAATCGAGATCGTTGCATCCACCGATCTTCTCCTGTCGTCCTCGCCTCCAGCGAGAATCCTCGTCATTTCGAAGTGATTTCTGACGCCGTACTTTCATCGAACAATCGAGGTTCTCTCTTTCTTGAGATCAAGATTTGGATCATCACTTAGAAACTTAAGGATAAGTTGCGAGGAAAAACAAATAATTATCAATAGCTTCCCATTGACCATGATCAATCTGGATTTCGAAAATAAGAATGATCAAAATACAAATTCTATATAAAAATAGAATTCTCTTCGCATAATTAAAATTTTGCGTTTCATCTTATTTTCTAAAAAATATATAAAAAAAGAAAAAAAATGACGAGAAAGGTATTTAAGAATGAAAGATTATATTTAAAACAAAAACTAGTTCGAATCATTTGCATGAAAAAATAATATTTGTGTTAATTAATCATATATCTTATTCATACACGTGGAAAAAAGATTTCGCTCGTCAATTACTAGTTTAATGACCATGTTAATAACGATGTGTACAGCTTACCGGTATAACTTACATAAATCTGCGAGGCAAAAGGATACGAACGATTGGATGATAATTAAGTAATGATTAGCGGGGATTATGAGCGCGAAGGATGGCGTAATAAGTGGATCACGGAAACATATCGATCGTTGTCCGATCGTAGGTAGCGTTGGCCTTGATCTCTTGATCGATTGGTCGAGCTATCAAACGGGACATTAACCACAATGTTACGGAGGATTGAGCGTTTGGTTTACATGCGCCGTAGATAGGGAAATAGATCGAGAACGAGATCTATAAAAAGATTCATCGATGCGTGCGAATGCTTAAATTGTAATCGCGAAAAGATAAACGTGTGCAAAGGAGATCAGTAATTAAAACGAGCACACGCGTGTGGAATAGGTGTGAAAGTGTGAATACGCGTTGAGAAATTGAATCATTAGCATCTGGAAGGTTTGCGTTAGCGGCTGTGTAAGCATTTAACGAACCACTCGAGTAATTGCTGTCTTGGATATCGGTTCATTTAGGTTGTTAAAATACTATACTTGGAAATTATCGTACCGACTGATTTACAATCCAGGAAATTAGAAGAGAGGTATAAATGATTTTGTGATAATTTGAAAACGATAAATTCTCAAGTTATTGCCTGGTTATAAAACGGTTGAAATAGTATAGGAGTGAATAACAGCGACAAAAATTGAACCTTACTTGAACGATATGACACATAATAGATATACGTGCGAAATATATTGAAAGAAGAAATCGAGATTATATCATATATCACAGATCTTTTCGAATTAAAAATATCAAACAAGAGAAACGTAGCTCGAAAAAGAGCTTAAAAAGAAAAGATTCACAAAAAAAGTATTTAATTATATTATTAATTAACATTAAATATTTTTTCGCATAGGTATCGATGAAACGATACAAATCTTGCCGAGGGAAAAAGTTACACGAGCGGTAGATACATAGATGCACGCGTGTGCATGCGTACCAGAGTATATCTGAAATCGTGACGCACTCTCTTGCCATCGTGCTCGATACACGGGCGCAACACACGTACACGCAAACTCACCGAGGAGGACGAAGCGAACACGAAGCGACGAATGCACCCGGGCTCCGTGGTGTGTGGTTAATTTACAGCTAGTTCTACAGCTCGTATCCTCCTCCTATCTCGAGCGGCGTATCTCTCTATGACGTCCCTGTCAACCCAAGCGGGGATCGTAATCCCGGAAGCTCGCCGGCTCTCCTCGAGATCGGGCGGCGGATCAGGAATTACAATCGGGTCGTCTCTTCCGGCCGACCGACCGGCTAATTGGCAACCGTAAAAATTCCGATCGCTCCTTCGTTTCGATCGATCTATAAATCAAACGGATTTACAACTGGTAAGAAACCCCCATAAAACTCGGTATTAATCGATCTCCTTGTCATTTTTCGCCCCGGCTAAAAATCTCCGGGGCGTGTAATCTTCCCGAGTTTTACGAGACAAGAACGCGCGTACATTCGTTTGAATTCGACATAAAGGCAAGGATTTTTCAACCTAGAACGTGTCAACCAGAGAAAAGAGGATCCCGTGTGTCCATCGATGGAATGCAGTCGCCGTGTTTACGAGCAAACAGTACGAGCGATAAATAACGATAAACGGAGAGCTCGTTTGGCACGAGCTCCAATTCTGAGTCGATGTTACACGAATGTTTCCTCCTTTCTGGGAGGAAAGGGACATCGTGTTAGACACTGTATCTATTCATGTGACGAATTATGTCTCGATTGGATTATGTCTCGAAGGGAGAGGATAATTTATGGGAAACAAGTCTGGGTCTTGTTGCTTTTATTTGTTAACGAAGTAAAGTAAAGATAGATTTGTTTTTTTAAACGTGCGGTTTTCGAATGTATTTTGAATTGACGCTGTATTGGAATAAGTTTTATGAAGCGTAAAATGCGTACAGATTGCGATGATCTTTTATTTACATTTATATTCTTCGGATTAAATCGTGATTTCTACGCGTTTTAAACAATTAGTTTGTCGTTAATCCGAGACAAGTATTCCCATAGAAAAAAAAATTCGGTGTAAAGAAAATCGTCGTGAAAAAATGAATTATTTCTCACGCTGATAAATTCCTAATATATTATATTATATCAATAATATTTAATAATCTTCTTTTCTTTGTTTTAGGAAAAAAGTAGTAATTTTATTTAAAAAAGAAACGAAATGTATCCACTAATTCTATCATTTACGATTGTAAAAGTTGTTATCAAAGAAATTATTAAGATTGAAAAATATTTAACAAAAAGTTTTCCTTCCTAAATTATTCGCATAATAAATTGTGTGCATCAGATTGAGAAAACTGAGATGAAACGATGCATATTCAATTTCAACAGATTTTCGAAGGAAATATTAGTTTGCACGGTAAAATTTTCGTAGCTGCATCCAATTATGCGGATCATCTATTAATCTCCTCCGAGTTTCCTCGCTTAATTCTTCTCTCGTGGGGAGCTTTTACGTCAAGCCGCGTTGCTATTGTTTCTGGAGAACAGTTTCCTCGTGCTTCCTGTTCCTCTCTCTCGATTTATCGTACCAAACAACTAGAAACAAGCGGGAGAGACAGAAAGAGAGAAAGAAAGAGAAAGAACATTCTAGGAATCTTAAGTGGTAGTTGAAACGTGTATTTATAGGTCGGTTTCGCCTTGCAATTCCGCCAGCAAAATGTGCAAATCTTGACCGATCATCGGTACGCTATTTCCATCGGTTGCATCCGTACAAATACAAACTGCCTGAATCTCTTGCCAGAGATCTTAAGGTATGACCAAAACACTCTCTTCCGAGGAATATTATTAAGATATTTTCTGGAAAATGGTAGCGGTAATATAGATTGTTCCGCAATCAATACATTCCAACGAGAAAATCCCTATCCATTTTATGATTTTGTACAAATCATAATGCAAAAAATAATGTCTTATCAATTTTAAACGTATGTAATATCAGGATATTTGCTTTCAAAATTAATTTCTGCCAAGTTTGTAGCATCATATTAGCGAAAGAATCATATTACAGAGAAGCATTAAAAAGACAGACTTATCAAAGATTAAAGAAAATCGGATACACGAAAACTTTTTCTCATATTTTAAAAGAGTTTATGGCGCGATCGTACATATCAAAGGCCATAAAATGAAATAAAATAAAAATTTCACGACACGTACATTCGGGTCGCACTCGTATTCAACGTGTTAATCCCATTCTTCGCCACTTTTCAACAAATTTCGCCATCCACTACCGAGATCTTAACACAACCAACCCGATCTAGTGGACAAAATGGATTGCCTATTTCTCGCGACTTATCGCCTCTCGTTGCTCGATTTAAGCTCTCGAATCCGGCAAACAACGTTCCTCGTTGAGAGAAACGGTCCAACCATACACTTCCCGCAATATCGAGTGCGAGCGTTTTGCCGGACAAATGTATCTGTTCGGCCCACGCGTGAAAACGGCGTTCCTAGGTCGAACGTATCCAGGATTCGTAATAAATCGAGCGCAATTGATCCTGGACCGCAGGTGGACGTAAATTGATATGCATATAACGGAGAAACGATAGCCGAACGTGACCGTGCAACCGTTGCATTACAGAAACGACCTTTCGACCCTATTGGGCGTGCACATGGTTGGGGCAAAATTGGCGTCAAGATCGTGATTTCTTGGCTCTGTTGTCGAGCCACTGATTTATTAGATCCTCTATTGAGTCACGGTGAGTTCGTTTGCTTTCCGTTTTTGTCAAACCAGTTGGAAATGATCGGATGAGGAGCGAAGAGGATGAGAGATGATTGGTTCGAGAATCAAAGAAGAAGAGACGTATGTTTATGGTTGATTTGATCCAGCTTAGAAAAGGAAATTATTTTAATCATGTTTTTATTAGATTTATCAGATATCAGAGATTGGATGATATATTTCTTTTTTTTTCTTTAAAAGAGTTAATGTTATCTTTATTTATTGTGAATCGTTTTGATTATTTTTGTGCGAACTCTTGCAATTTTTCATTATTTATCTTTCGTTATTTCGAACAGAATATCTTTTAATCTCCTCATCATTTTTTCCAAATTTGAATTTGCCTCCAAGGAATTCTCCTTGTCTTCATTAACGTGATTGTTATAAAACTCGAGGATGAAACGAAAATCAACGAAACCAAATCTTATCCGCGATCGCGCCCCGTCACCTATGGAATTACCCATACAAATCACGAGGAATTACACGCCGTGTCAGATAATTTTCATCAGAGGTAAACGATTCCCTAAACATTCTTCGCAACAACATTCTTCGCCCCGCCATTCCTTCTCCGCTCAAACGATTTCGCGTAACGATGTCGATGAATCGTCCCGTCAAAATCCTATCGACGATTTTTCTACCTCACGTTGGCCATTTGTCGGCAACTAGTGTAAGCTGTTTTTCGCGTGTCGCCGCATGCAGAACATAGCGGTACGGCTATTGTGACCGTATGATCGAGTGGATCATTAATCGATGGAACGCGTTGCAGTTATTCGGTAAACGACCCCGGCAAAGAAGGAATGGAACTGATAGATCGCGACGAGAAGATTCCAGTGTCGATACTGTCACGCACGAGGACCGGCTCATGGCGATTCAATTGCGCTCGAGCAGATGTCGACGTGGAAAACGTGGAAGGATGTAGCTCCAGGCGTGTCCTGGACCGCGTTCGCGTAATGGTGTCCGCTTAATAATTCCGCTCGGAGGAAGGACACTGCGACTGGCAGAGCATGGAGAACGTTGGCTAATTTGCCTACTCGGCTTCCGACAGAGGATCGATCGCGTTCTCCGAATGCTCTTTGATTCCTCGAGCTCGATTGACTCGCTTATTGGCGTTCTTTGGATCGAACGAAGAAGAGAAAAAAGATTGTTTGGTATAGATTATACGATATAAGGGGCTACTCGACGATCGTTGAACCTGGAAAACGCGGCTAATTTGCTTCTTGGAACGGGTATTGAGTTCGCCGAGTATTGATTTAGTTCTTTCGAATATTGTTGCGGCCTTTGAATATTGGAATTATGGAATTATATTATAATGGTGAAAGTGTATATTTATATAGTTTTTCAAATAGTGGATATTGTGTGTTATATATTAGAAAAATCATATCGATAATATTGAGCGATTCGTAAAATGTGAGTATATTTTTAAATTTCTTTTATAATAATAAAAGTTATAAAAATGTTATTGATTATTTTTTTTTTTACAGTTAAACTTGCAAATTTTTGGAATAAAAAGATCAAAATCTAGGATAAATGTACGAGAAAGTATTAGAGATGTAAAAGTAAGATAACACGTTTCATTGTCTCTCGTGGTCGAGAGTGAAAAGTACCGTAAGACCGGTTGTCACTGGGTTCAGACTAGGAGGCACGAAATTTTACTTTATTATAGTGTTCAACTAGTCGAGATTCCGACTGTGCCGTTAAATAATACGAAGGTGACAAAATTTATTATAGTCTCTACGCATAATTAGATAACACACACACATTAACGTGTCGCTTCAAACTATTTTCTCGTCTCAAAAATGAAGTAGAAAAAAAAAGGACTAGGTAATGTGATGAATTATAAACACAAAAGAAAAAAAATTTAGATATATTTTAATAAGTTTTTAATTAATTGTTGATCGTACGAAAGAACAACGAGTTAAAAATGAAAAATAATTCCAATTCTCCAAGAGGAAAACTTCGTTAAAAGCAACAATGTTCAGATCTTTTTTTTCTTCTGTTTATATCGAAACTTATCGCACTTATCTTATTACGACAAACCATGTGGATTATGTCACGCCAACATAATACTTCAGTGTAAACGAACTTTGTAATTGTCACGCTGCCTCTTCCATCGAGTCTTAAACACGCGCATGTTGTATTCCATGATGATACACGACAATAATAAGCATTTAATAATATGATTGATTCATTCTATTTTTTCTTGCTATTGACTTTTCGTCGATCGATTCTATTGAATTTGACATTAAAAAAAAAGATAATTTATATGATTAATTAATCGGTCTTTTGCCAAAGTTTATTTTTACGGTTTTTGCCTAATTTGTGATAAATATTTTTTCCATTTCAAATTGCTTTTCTTTTTATAGACGAGAACAAACGTATATTTTTTTATCTATCTAATAATTACAATCTTAATCAATAATATAGATTTTAAAAGGAAATAGAATTTCGTGATTCTGAAAATAAAAGAGGATGTATTGTTTAAGTGAGTGAGATCAAAGTGGGATATTTGAGAAATTAGAATGGTAAAACTCGATGATTATTTATTGTTTATTATTGTTATTTTCGACAGTCCCTGTAATTATTCCGGTTTACCGGTTCCTTTATCCATCCTGCCGTGATGATTT